GAGAGAGAGAGAGAGAGAGAGAGAGAGAGAGAGAGAGAGAGAGAGAGAGAGAGAGAGAGCCCCTATGCATCCATGTCTGAATGTATCTGGCGTTGTCAATGGCGCCATGTCTGAATGTATCTGGCATCCATGTCTCTCTTTCTCTCTCACACACACACACATACAGCAACCAACAAGAAAACGAAAGATGATGTGAACACACACACACACACACGCACACACATACAACACACACACACAGATGACGTGAACACACACACACACACACACACACACACACACACACACACACACACACACACACACAGACGTGTGCGCGTGCACCGGCGATGGCGCCAAGAAGACGCATGAAGTACCTACCATTTTCGAATTAGTACTGCCGCCACTTCTCAAGGGCATCACAGAAAGATGTGTGCCCCTCGTGAGGGCATTTCAAGTATGGACCGACGAAATGCAACCAGCGGCCCAGTAAGGGCATATGGGAAAGTTACGCCCCGTGCTGACAGGGGCCTGCGGAAAAGTTCACAGGCCCGAGGGGCATAATAGGGTAAGTAGGCCTTCACAGGGGCACGCCGCAAATAAATGAAAACTTCAGGGGCATTTCGAAAATGTTTTCGAAAAAAAAAAGAAAAAGAAAACTCAGCTCAAACGCAAACTTCAGGGGCATTTCGAAAATTTATGAAAAAAAAAGGAAAAAGAAAACTCAGCTCATTTGATTACGCACACCAAAGGAAGAGGCCGTGAATCCTCAACAATTGTTACTGGGGGTGACAAATCCAGAGACATATATGGCCAAAACCAGAGCGCTGTCCTGATGTCTTCTGTTCTTTTCTTGACGTATGCCATGGTTTTTGCGGCAGAGAAAACGAGCCCTTCCCGGTGTTCCTCATTCCGGCAACACCAGATGGACCACAAAATAGCGGCTCGGATGGTTTCCTCCGCTCTTGCGGACGCCACAACCCCTTGCCCTAGAACCAATGTTCCCCATCAAAGGGGCGATGCTAATTTTCTCTCCGATGTTCCCGAGCTCTTGCGATAGGCGGTGGGGAGGTACTTTCCACGGATTCGTTGTTTGCCACTGGTTGGTTGTTCAAATGCCACTGCGGTTCTGGTACTCGGTTGTCATCGAACTCAATGGTTCGGATTTCTGTCGGATCTTGGCCATCTCTGATTCTCGCGGCCAGGTTCCTCTGATTCGAATTAGGGACCTTCATCAGAGAATTGAGCTTATGATACGGTTTCCACAGGGCTTCTTCTCTGCCTCCATCAAAGTTCTGTCCTGTGACTGCAGGCCCTCCATCATCCTCTTTCCCTCATCGTCGTCGTTCTCCTCCGCATCCTCCTGCGAGTGCAAGCCCTCCACCGTCTCCTTCTCCTCGTCGCCTTCCTGGACCTCACCGTCTCGGTTCCGTTGTTTTGCTCCTTTTTACGATCTTCTTGCACGGGATAACCGGTCGATGAGAAGAAGAGCGGGCGACCGGGTTGGTAACGATGAAATGTCAGCGAAAGTAATGACGGAGTCGACCGAGCGTGGCGGGAGAATATTTGCGTCCGGGAGAGGAGGATGCCAAGACACCGAGGAGGAGGAGAGCAGAAGGAAGGAACCGGCAGTGTTTGCCTAGTTGATTTGGATAAGCTTACATGAGAGAGGAAGCGAGGGGAAAGGGGAAGAAAACTCGAGAAGGGGCACATCTATAACGATGACGTTTCTTCTGGCGATAGGTCCGAGTAAAGGACTCTGTTCACTTACTGTCGGCGTCTTCTCCTCGATCGGCTCTTCGTCATCTATTCCGTTAAGTGAGTAGTCATCTTACCGGTATGCTTCTTCCCTGTTCCTGCTGTCACCTTCTCCTCTTCCTCCCTTCGTCTTTCTGTGCTAATGTTGTTAATTCTTTTCTTCTTGTCCGCATGTTGTCGTCCTCCCGTCCCCTCTTCTGCCTACTACTCGTTTTCATTCTTTCCTGTTCCCTCTACCATCCACGTTTGCCCTTCCCTTGTCGCCTCCCATTCCTCCATGAGCTTGTTTCCTGGGACAAAACGTTAATGGTGATGATGGAATCTGATGGAACGGCGGGAGATGATTTTTATGGTACTGCCGGACACGAGGAGAGGAGGACGCGAAGACACCGATTTGTAGGGGACGTGAAATGGGGCGAGAAAAGGAGGGAGGGGATAATTGTCTGTTTGGGGCAGAGAACTTGAGAAGAGGCGCGTCCTTGGTGATGACGTATAGGACGAAAGATCAACCTGCAGGGTGGTGGTCTATTTTGGGCCGGATGTGCAAGGTGCTTCATGGATGAGAGGTCTACTCCAATCCTAATCGGAGAACATGTCTTATGGAAGGGAGGATGAACATGTCGGATCGCAAGGCAAGGGCAAACCGAGTGAAATATGAGCTCAGAAAGCAGAGCATCTGTAAGGACATTGGCTCTGAGGCAGTCGGATTTTCATGACGCTGCTGCCGCTCGGCTGCCTCTTGGTCACACCATTCTCTACCGCCTGCTCGGCAGTTTTCCTGATATCTCATTTTGTTTCTCGCACTTGTCACTTGCAGTTTTCTATTCTCCGATCTCTCTTTCCTCCTCTACCATCTCCAGTGCTTCTTCAGCTTGTCCGATCCTATTGCTCTTCTCAAGTGATCTCTCTCTCCCTCTCTCTCTCACACACACACACACACTCACACACACACACACACACACACACACACACACACACGCACACACAGACACAGACAGTAGCGTGCGCCGTCGCACACACGCACACAATCACGAGAGCCCCCGCGCACACAGAACCACATGCACCAACACGGCCCCCACAGAACTCCACAAAAAGAAAAGCATGACTGTGCCAGACTGTTTCGTCGTGTGTGATGTGTGTGTGTGTGGTAGATATATATCGATACATGTAGATAGATAGATAGATAGATATATTGTCCCGTCGTTAGGCCTGTGATGTAGGAGGCGGTGCTTGCATGTGGGACTCGTCATCTAGGATCTGTTAGGTTGGTTTCCAGCTGTTTTGTTATATTTGGCTGTTTCCTTCCTCTTTCTTTGCCTCTTTGCCTTTTGGCTGTGTGCAAGTGGGTCGATATGACACACGGGGATGGGGCCAGCCCCGGCTCAACCACATCCACGTGGGTGGCCTTGTACGCAAGAGGTTCTCAACAGGGGGAGTTGTAAGTAAGAAGATAAAAAATGAATTGATATCTTTCTTGTTTCCTTTTGTTTTTTTTTCGCTTTCGCCCTCTGATATCTTTGGGACGATTGTACGCAAGAGGTTCTGAACAGGGGGAGTTGTAAGTTTAAGATAAAAAATGAAATGATTTTTTTTTCTTGTTTTTTTCCCCTTTTGCGCTCTGATATCTTTGTGACGATATATACTCCGACGTTGCTAGCTCTCTGCTTTGTAGATGATGCGGCGAGCGTTGGACCTGTACTAGCAGGCTTTTTCTTTGGTTATGGTAGAATATACTCTTTCTAAATTTTTTTTCTACCTCTTTTTCTTTGCTATGCTCTTCCCCATTGTTGGGGTATTTCGTTTTGCGGACCTACTGTATGGTTCCGTTTTTTTTACTATGGTTATTGCAGAATTTGTTTTGGTATTTTTGGCACCTTTGTCTGCATCCCGGTTGGTTTCGTCCCGTTGTTCGGCTTACGGTAGGTGAAGCTGGAGGCGGTGATTTCATGTGGGACTTAATCCTTTTGGCAACCTAGTTGGCTGTTTCCGGTTGTTCGGCCTGTGGTGAGGGGGCAGTGCTTTTCTGTGGGAATCGTCATCTGGGATTGTCTTTTATATGTTTTTTTCGCCGTTGGTGGTGTCGCAGTATTTTAGTTTATACCAGTGAAGCATCAGAAAGATGGAAACGATACCAGTTTTTGCAACAAATAATAATGACAAAGGATTCTTGGAGTTGATGCAGAGTCGCTGGTGAGTACGAATGGTTTGCTATCCGGGATTGTTTGTTTGCAGGCAAGGGTGTTTTGATATCCTGGTTGGTCTTGTCCCGTCGTTTGGCCTTTGACAGAGGGGGCGGCGCTTGCATGTGGGACTTGTCATCTAGGATCTGTTTATGTGTTTTCCCCCTGTTTCGTTATATTTGGCTGTTCCCTTCCTCTTTTCTTTGCCTATTTGCCTTTTGGCTGTGTGCAAGTGGGTCGATATGACACACGGGGGTGGGGGCAGCCGCGCTCAACCTACGGAACATACTCACTTCATAGGAATATTGTAGAAGAAGGTGTAGATATGGGTATGGCAGACTGTCTGCACCACTTCTCGCCACTTTCTTTCAAGAACTGCTCCTCTGAACTCCACGCGCAAGAGTCGCTGGTGAGTACGAATGGTTTGCTATCTGGGATTGTTTGTTTGCAGGCAAGGGTGTTTTGATATCCTGGTTGGTCTTGTCCCGTCGTTTGGCCTTTGACAGAGGGGGCGGCGCTTGCATGTGGGACTTGTCATCTAGGATCTGTTTATGTGTTTTCCCCCTGTTTCGTTATATTTGGCTGTTCCCTTCCTCTTTTCTTTGCCTATTTGCCTTTTGGCTGTGTGCAAGTGGGTCGATATGACACACGGGGGTGGGGGCAGCCGCGCTCAACCTACGGAACATACTCACTTCATAGGAATATTGTAGAAGAAGGTGTAGATATGGGTATGGCAGACTGTCTGCACCACTTCTCGCCACTTTCTTTCAAGAACTGCTCCTCTGAACTCCACGCGCAGAACCTCTTGAAACTTGTTGATCCTGGAGAGGGGACTGAGGCGCTTCACCCCAGGGTGTGAGATTCCCTGAATCTCGGCAGGTGGCACTCTGTCAGTAAGACAGAAGATGAGTGCCACTGACACCCCGATTCGTTGCCACTGATAGTTGGCCAGAGTAGCCGAATTCAGGGTGTGATTGGCACTGTAGGCCAATCAATCCCAGTGCAATCCTCTGATGCTCCCGCCACTCAGTGCTTCACCACCCTCTGACGAATTTCGCCACTCTTGAGCAAAATCGCGATTCTGCAACCCCTTCAGGGTCTGGGGAAATCCACGGTACTTGCCCTTCTTGAATCAGGCACTCTCCTAAAATAGCAACGCCAGATCAGTCCAATACTGAGCCACTGTAATAACCGCTTGGAAGTCTTCTTCTTGCCCGATTCAACACTGAAGAAGCCGAATCACCATGAAGCTTTTCTCCAGAATCTCTTCAGAAGAAGAAGATGCCCCACTTGCGCTCAGCACCCAGTTAGTCCATTCCGATCCAAGCTCTGATACCAACTGTTATGAATTTGCTTGCTTGTCGATTTCAATCAACACTCACACACAGGCGATCTCATACATGCCCATACATGCATAAGAAGAAGGGGAGAGGAGATAGAGTCACACACTGCACACAGACAGAGTAAGCAGCGGAAGGCAAATATGCACAGAGTGTGGAGACAACACAGTGTTTCTCTCTTTGACGATGCTCCCAACAGCCAATCATAAGAAGAACCACGAGGATCACAACAGAATGTAATCAATTTTGAGCCAAGATCAACCCTGAACGTTACAGAGTTCTCTCCCAATGTTTCCCCACCACTGAAACCTACACCACACCCCAACTCCTACACTCTGTTAGTAGTGCCCACTGAAACGGCCTCTCAGAGGCCAGCGCCAACCAGAATGATGAAGGAGGCCAGCGCCAAGTTCCTGATGAAGATGAAGAGTCTCTGATGCCAAAAGCTGCAGTTATGGCTGCAGCGCCACTCTCTGCCACACAGCAATCTCAGAAGTAGCAGCAGCAGTGGTCCACCCACGAATGACTGTGTAGAGCCTCCGGATAGCCCAGACGATAGCAAGCACCCTCAGGGGTGAGCGCGTGGAGGGCACCCCAGCTATGGTGGGCCCCAGAGGTCTGGCTATGGCTGTCCCTCTGACGAGGGACTCAGGATGCCGCCTGCAGTCAATCATCACCTTCCTTCCTTTCCTTGGCTCCGCCTACGCATCCTGGCAAACCAAAAGCCACCAGTTCGAAAAAGCCCCAACTAGACTGACTCAGTCCTATTAATCGCTCTAGCCTAGACCTAGACTCAGACTGGACCGAGCGGTACCATTCCAATTTCGGCCTCTAGGGCCTCTCCCTACCCGACTATAGGCTATAGGACCCGTCTATCAGCGTAGGCCTGTAGGTTCGGAGAATTTCAGACTGCACAAAAATTTAATACGCATGGAGATTATCAAAGGAACTGAACTGCGAAAAATAAAAAAATTCCGCAGGTTCGAAGAATTCCGAAACATAAAAAAAATTCGGAATTTCTCAGGTGAGAGTATGCACAGTTTGAAAACAAATGACGGCAGAGGAATTTCCCGTAAAAAGGAATTTCTGAATCTGGGAATAACGGTCACCCCCGGAATACGCGAAACTTTTTGGAAATAAGCTCGAATAAAAAATTTTGGAATTTCGACTTAACTGGGAATTGCGAAAGATGAATCGAAAAAAAATTCCGTAGTATTTCCGGATCTCCAGCACCGGAATTTCGAATTTCATAAAAAAGAAAAACGAGAATTCCCGATGCGATTTCCCACCAAAAAAAGTGGGAAAATGAAATCCAAAAGAAAAAAAAAAAATTGATTTCGGCAGTTAGGTCAAGATCCGCGATTTTGGGGACTAATTGGTGTGACCTAATCCGTCAATTAATCGATTATCAATCAATCAATCAATCAATCAATCAATCAATCAATGATTAATCAATCAATCAATCAATCAATCAATCAATGATTAATCAATCAATCAATCAATCAATCAATCAATGATTAATCAATCAATCAATCAAGCAATCAATCAATGATTAATCAATCAATCAATCAATCAATCAATCACTTCTTTGATTGTCCCCACGCTCGTGTCAGATCAGGTTGTCCTGATTCACAAGCGGGGCTCCGATACCAAACTGACGCATGCCCAATGGGACAATGCGTAGGGAGCCAAGGATCCGCAATGTGATGAAAAGGATTGAAATGGACAATGCAAGGTCAGCGTAGCATCAACAAGTAATGTACATTCTGATACATACAAGATGGCACAAAGTGGCGCAGTGGAAGACTTGAAGGGAATATGTGATCTGATCTGGACCGACCCGACATCCATCATACATCGCACATGTGAGAGGGGAGGAGGGACCGCAATCACAGAAGAAAGGTCCCTCCTTCACACACATACATGGGGAGATACCATGGATGAGAGATGGGGGAAAGGGACGAGACGAAGGAGAAGGAGGCGAGGGAGTAGACCAAGATCGCGATAGTGAAGTCCAAAAATAGTCCCTTGCCGAGTGTCCAATCAATGTCTGTCCCAGAAATGTCGAATCAGATCCTGGGCAATGTGCCCAGCATAACCTCTGCCTGTATCATCTACCGATAACCTCTCTTACTCTCGTATGTGAAGGAGAAGATAAGGAGGAGGAGGAAGGAGGAAGAAGGAGGGAGAGAGAGAGATGGAGGAGGAAGAAGAAGAAGATGCCATCCTCCTTGCTGTCTCACCTGCAGGTAGCTGTCACCGTACTGACTGTGGTCATTGTTGTGTGCAGGTACCACGTGGAGCCGGGCTATGGCGCCAGGTAAGCTCGCTGTTTGCAGGTAAGGCCTCCGCCTCTCTCTACTACCTACACCGCTACTCCCTACTCCATAGCCTGGCGCAGAATAACGCTGCCTCCAACCAGCAGCGTGTCGCTCCAGAAGTGAGCTACTCGAACTGTCCTTGCCCAGCCGCTGCCCAGCTATTTGTAGCGCTGGGCGGGCTGGGCCTACCTGATGCTGGCCTCAGAAAAACGGCCCAGCTGGTTTGGGTCCCTACCGGACGTCCAGACCATGCTGCTGATGCAGCAAGGCGCAGAAATGCGCCTGGCCTAAAAATGGCCCGGTACCTATGCACCTAGCCCAAGGCGTCGCCTTGGGACCTGCAGGACGGAAACGACGCCTGCACCTACCGGTCTGGCACCAAAATGCGCCTAGCCTCGTTTCGGGCCTGCCTCCTGTGTACCCAGTCCCAAGGTCCGGCCTTGGGGCTGCAAGTCCGAAACGACACCTGAACAGACAAAGTAAGACAGCACACACACACAAAAAGGTAAATAAAACTACACCTATCTAACTGGTGTGCTACCTAGGGCCTGAAGGGCCGCCATGGGCCTCCAGGGCGCGTGCTGTATGGTACGCGGCCTGGGGGCCCCTTAGCAACCGTCGGGCCCCTCAAATGGGGCCCGTGTGCAGGTGCAGCATGCAACAGAAAGCCAACGTGAACACAGTTAAGAAAGGGACTTGAGCACTTCTGCTATGCTCCTTGTTGCTTGGTATAGAGGTAAGACTGTTTCATTGTTGTCTCAAGTCGTGTTTTCATTGTTTGCAGTAGGACTAAAGCTGCTTTGATCTTGGATCGACTCATCTGAGAGTGGAATGGGACCTGTTGTGGTGAAAAGTCTCAGTTGAAAAAAAAATAAAATAAAAAAAATCAGGAGAATACGGGAATCTCAGCAAGTCAGTCAATCAAGCGGCAGAACTCAGAAAACAGCAGATTTCTCAGCCGGCGATTTCGCAGGTCATTACACTCTGTATGTTGTAGGAAACGACTTCTTCTCGAGTTGCTCTGGAATGGCAGTATCGATGAAGAATAAATTGATTGATAGCATCCAGTGGTGTTTGCATGGTCTGTGCATTGCAGCATACAGATCTTTGAGGCTGCTAGGGCGACCACTGGAAGTTAGGGATGACGCAGGGCTTCCACTTGGTGGATGTGTAAACAAGGACGTGGGTGGTTATGAATTCCTGCGGGAAGTTAGTGGTGCCAAACTAGAGAACGATGCTACTGGAGAAGTGGAATGACGAATACTTGTTTCCATCAGACAGCTCGAGGAGCACAGCAAGGAAGCGTGCACCCCTTTCCTACATTGCTGTCTGCTTTACCAAGAGTTAGAACACAAGCAGAGTGCCTTGTGGTGGTGGGGAGGAAGGGAGGAAAGAGAGAGAAGGGCAGGCGGGCTGTGGGCAGAAGGGAGACAGACAGACATACATTCAGACAGACAGGCAGAAGGCTGGAGGAAACCCTTTGCTACATTGCTGTCTGCTTTAGCAAGAGTCAGAACACAAGCGGAGTGCCTTTTGGTGGTGGGGAGGAAGGAAGGAAAGGGAGAGGAGCGGGTGGGCTGTGAGCAGAAGGGAGACAGACAGACATTCATTCAGACAGACAGTCAGAAGGCTGGAGGAAATGGGTGTTTCAGGGGTGGTGGCATATGTGGGTGGGTATCTGTATTTGGTCTTTTTTGCTGTGTGTCTGGCGACAGGGTTGTATTACTTGGCAGAGCTAGTGGAAGAATACACGAGGCTCGCAAAGAAGGTTATCATGTACACAATTTTCTTTGTGATGATCCTCCACGCAGCTGTCTGGCTTGTTGATCACACTCCGTTGACCTGTGTCTTAGTGGGACTCGCAACTCACGCTGGATATCTGACCATGCTGAAGACTTTCCCTTTCATTAGGCTCACATCACTTGAGTTTGTTGGGAGCGTTTGCCTCTTGATCTGCAGCCACATGTTATGGTTTCAGCATTTTATCTATAACCCTGTCAACCAATTCATAACCGTTGAATACATGCTGGGGTTTGCATTGATAATGGTCTGGTTGGTTCCATTTGGGTTCTTCATTTCGCTGGCGGCAAATGAGAGTGTCCTGCCAGGTGTACCTGGACCAATGTATGGGGGATATGTCAATAGAGGAGATACGGTAGGGATGGGGGGGGAGAGCTACAGGAGGGAGACAAGGATGGGGCAAACCTCAAGCAGAGGAGGCGGGTCATTGCTGGGGTTTTTCAAGTTCTTGATGAAGAAGAGAGATGACGTGCTTCCATCTGTTAGAGCACATGTACCGACATCGTGCATGAGTAGCAAAGACAGAATACTGTAGTTCTCCTCCGCTTCACATCCCTTCCTCCCTCTTCCTTTCAGTCCTGTTCTCTCGGCATCAGTATTTAGGTCACAAGATCAGTAGGTAGGACACACTATGCCATCCAGGCAGCGTTCTTGCAAACAGCAAAATGTGCTTGCCAAAACTTGGAGGGGAATATGCTCTGCTGAAGTTGGTGGACTAAGTTGGGGTATTCAACCACCACCTGAAGAGGCTGCACAGCAGAACAATAGACCAGTGTGTGGGATTGAATCTTTGAATTGTATTGATGGGGATGGTGAGATGGGATATAGGGATCTGTGTGTGTGCTTGGATGAGGAGGGGGCGGAGCAGGAGACACACACACACACACACACACACACACACACACACACACACACACAGAGAGAGAGAGAGAGAGGATGCTTGTAGCATGAGTGGGATCTGCAGGGTTGTACACTTCTTTACGCAGGTGGTGCAGTGTGTGCTGCTGTCGTTTGTTGCCGTTCACCATCTCCTGCACGTCATTCAGCCGGAATAAAGGATTGTATTGCACGAGTTATCTGGTTTTGACCAGTGAGTCGACCCATTGATGAATGCTTTATTGTGGAGGATAGGTTTAAGCGTGATAAGCAGGTCTTTCCTCTCTTTCCCCGCTTACCTCTTTTGTGGGTGCGTGTGTTTGTGTTAGAGAGAGAGAGGGAGAGAGGGCAGGAAGAAAGCGAGGGGGGGGGTGGAAGGGAAGGGGGGGTGATTGGTGGTGACTGGGACAATTGTGTACACATTCTTGATTTTTGTGGCAAAGGGGGTGATTGGTGGTGACTGAGAATGTTGTGTACACATTCGTGATTTTTCTGGCAAATACATTAAATTTTAAAGTCATGTCACTTGTTTTATCAGTGAGAAAGGGAGAGTGGGGGGAGGGGGGGGGAGGGGGGGAGGGGAGTGCGCATCCTTGATTATGTCAAAAATTCTCAAAATCATGTTGCTTGTTTTATATGTGTGATTTGATTGTCCACAATTTGTCTCAGATGTCCACTTTTTATTTGATGGGTTGCACAATTTATGTTCTCTTCTAATTTGGCATAGTTGGTGTATGATCATCCTACTAACCCAGGTTTAAACCACCAGTACGAGGATTCCCACTGCAGAGCATTCCGAGCCGGGAGACTACCAATGGTATCCAGTCGCTCAGCAACCCTCCTCTCCCAACTGTGCACATTGTAAGCACAGCCAGCTGGACCCTCTACGGGCGGGAGCCCCCGTACAAGATCTGCACCGCCTTGCGACCGCTCCCCCGTGGGGTACCTGGCCAGGGATGTGAATGTGCTGGAGTCAATTATCGTGGATTCCTAGCGCGGGATTTTCTTGCGAGTGGCAACACACTCGACCGAGCCAACCAGAACTCGAAACTGCCGCCTGTGTCTTGAGACACCCGAACCTGTGGAACACAGGCGCCCGACCAACTTACCAGAAGTGTGATTAAAGCACTTGCAATCAGACTCGTCTTCTTTCCTACTTCGCATGCATGAAAACCAATGGCAATCACACTGGCGCCAGGCACCCACACGAAGCTCAGAGATGTCGAGGCCAAGATCACAGTTCAGATTCAAACTTGCTTCGAATAGCTATGGTGTCTGTGTGCCCTCACAGCACCCTTCTGACGCTGTATTCCCAGCAACTGTTCACACGCACGCTACTCTGGATCTCCATGGATGTCCCATACACGCTCACACTCTTCACACAACTCACTCACACAGGTACGCTACAGCCTACTGCTATCTGTGGCAGCTATGGCCGCCTTCTACTCCCTGCTACTGGCCACATCTCCCTCACTGCCCTCTTCTTCCTCGGGCACCTGCAGACCTCTTTGCACAAGTCACTCAGGCAGCACTTCCACACGGCTCACAGGCTGAATGAATGAATGACTGGACGCTGCCTCTTGATTTATACTTCGGTTGGTCGCTGGTCTGCTCCTTTCCACCGGACTCAAGGTGCACACAGTCCCACATGGTACAACTGGGACTGGGTACCGCTGACTAGACAAGTTTGGACTGCCCACTTGCCTGTAGCCTAACCTGAGCAATTCTCGAAAGGCCACATCCGGACCTTTTGGAATTGTGTAGACTTGGCCTTTCGGGACTGTAGCAGCTACGACCTTGACGTTTCAGGACTGTAGCAGCTACGACCCCCACTTGACAGACCTGCGGTTCAAGACCCATGACCACACTATCCTGCAATAGACAACAAACGCCTTCCAACACACAGGTCACGGGTTAAAACACAAAGGAGGTGACTCGGTACTGTGCACGGGTGAGGCTAAGGTCTGGGGATTGAGCCCTGGGATCTGTGTCTGCTACTGCAAAGGTGAAAACCGTTTCACTCCCGCCAGCCTAAATTTGAGGTCCTCCGAGAATGTATTAATCTACAGCAGGATTTTTACCATTCTTAGCTCTTTCGTAGGCACGGATTACATCGGGAGCAGTCTCTAGAAGCTCTGTTCGGATAAGCAGCGGTCGTCTTCCAGTTCTTGATAAGAAAATCTGACTTTGTACTGTTTCTGTGGACGACCTCTACCTCCTGTTCTGAATACATCCTCACCTACTATGTGATCAACGTAGTACCTTCTATCCATGTCTGGAGCGATTATGGACCTTCTCGATGGGAATTGCTGACTCGTAGTGCAAGGCAACAACTTTGAAACTGGGTAGGTGTGGAGGTGTGCTGGAATCTCTATGGTGTAAGACGGCCCATCTTCTCCGCCCTTAACGTCCAGAACTGGCCACGGTCCGCTATATGCAGGTAGCAACTTCTGCGAAATGTTCTCCTCGGGAGCGAACTCTTTGGACTTGACCTAGACTAAGTCGCCTACTTGGAACTGTGATGGGCGACGGTGTTTATTAGCTTGTTCTATCATCCTATGCTGGGCCTTCCTGAGGTTCTCTAGCACTTTAGCAATCTCTTTCTCATGTTGTAGTGCAAACTCCCTAGTTCCGGGCGGTAGGCTCTGGATTTGATCCGGGTTTAGTCCTTCCAACGGTCTGCGTGGTTTAAAGGACTTGTGCAGCTCATTGGGAGTGTGGCAAATGGCTAGGTGAACATTGTTATTGTATTCGCTAGCTACCTTTGGGAGCATCTCGTCCCAGTTGACTTGATCGGGTCTAATATACATTATGAGAACTTGCTGCAGGATCTTATTCATCTGTTCGATCTGACCGTTAGTCTTTGGGTGACGGCCAAATGACATTAGCAACCTAGAGCCATGGACTCTCATCAGCTCCTATCAGTTCTAACTAGTGAACCTGGTATCTTTGTCACTAACTATGAACAGTTGTAGACCATGTTCATTGACCCAATGATAAAAAAAAATTCTATTACTAAATTGGTACGTGCCTCTGAAGGCAAGGGAACGAGAACTGCATATTTGCTAAACCTATCGACTATAACCAAGACTTGGTTTTTGCCATACGTACTTCGGACCCCAGCATCCATGAAATCTATAGACGCTGACTCTCCGGGCCCTGAGGGAATAGGCAAAGGTTCGAGAAGACCTAGAGGGGCTCACGTAGTGGTCTTGTTCCTCTGTCACACCTTACAACTGCGTACATACTCTATACAGTCTGCCTTCATGCTAGGCCATGTATACGCGCAAACAAGGTTGGCTAATGTCTTTTGCCAAGCGACGTGTCCCTCTGTATCGTGGCATATCCCTAAGATCAAACTACGGATCTCCTCAATGTTGGGAACACACAATCGGTCAGCTGCGTTACTCTTCTCAAATAACAACCCATCTGTAGTGCGGTAATCTGGTTCAGACTCTAGGACCTCCTTGACTCTCTTGAGCAGGTCACTATAAATAGGGTCTTGCTTATATGCCTCTTTCACCTTCTATTGCAGGTCTCTCCCTATGTCCAGATGGTGTACTCTCTCTCCAAAGTAATTTGCTCTTCTATTCAGAGCATCCGCAACTACATTTTACTTTCCTTTAACAGGCTTGAGCTCAAAGTCAAACTGGTCTTGCGGCTCACCTAGTAAGCTTAGGTGTCATCTTGCGTCTTCAGCCGCCTCAATGTCTCGTGGGCTGAATAGACTTTGAATTGCCTCTCAAGCAAGTAATGCTTCCAGTGGTCTAGCGCTTGCCTGAGAGCGTAGAGTTCCCTCTCATAGGTTGATGTCGCTACCTTCTCTAAAGGCATCCTAGTAGACATGAACTCTACGGGTCTATATCCATTGCCATCATCTTGCTATAGGACAACACCCATACCGTATTGACTTGCATCAGTGGTGACAACAAAAGGCAAAGACGGATCAGCTCCCTTGAGGATTGAGTACTCTATAAGGGCCCACTTTAATTTCTTCAAGGCCGATGTACAGTCTTGGTCCCACTTCCAAATCACTTCTTTCTTTCGCAATCTGCGAAGGGGAGCAACAATGGTAAAAAAGTTCCTCACGAACTTCCTATAGTAATTTGCCAATCCTAAGAACGACCGCAACTCTGTCAATGTACATGGAGTTAGTCTCTAATCGCTGCTATCTTGGTGTCCTCAGGCTTTATGTCGTCTCCATCTAGGATGTGGTCAAGTAGAAAACATGTGTCTTGGCCCACTAACGCTTCTTTGCGTTGATCTTGAAGTTATTTTGTCAGCTTCTCCAAGACCTGCCTCATATGAGCCGCGTGCTCCTGGAGGGTATTGCTAAACACTAGAACATCATCTAAGTACATGATCACAAATCTATCTAACCACAACTTGTACAAATCGTTCATACAGTGCTGAAACGTGGTTGGCGCGTTGGTTAGTGCAAAGGGCATCATTATGAACTCACAGTGACCATATTTCGTCTAGAACGCAGTCTGGCACAAGTCATTAGGATGGACACCTATCTGGTGATAACTTGACTTCAAATCTATCTTGGAGAAATACTTGCAACCTTGCACCCGGTCCAATAGGTCATCTGTATGGGGCAACGGTTCTGCATTTCTCACAGTGACGACGTTAAAACCCCTATAGTCAATGCACATTTTTAATTCTCCCTCTTTCTTGGGGACGAACAGGACAGGCGCTAGAAACAGAGATGAGCTGGGCCTAATCCAACCCTTCTCAAGGAGCTCGTTTAAGTGTTTGCGCAACTCTAACTCCCTTGGGGACATTCTATACACAACTCCCTTAGGAGTTCTACTTCCAGGCTCTATTTCAATGCGATGCTGGATTGGCCGCGACACTACTTCGGTAGGCGGCTTAGACAAATTTGCATACTCTTCCAGCAATTTGGCAATGCGAGGGTCGATCAACTCTTTCTTTTCAGGCTCAGTAACTGGCCTAACATAGGCTACAAAGACCTGTTCTTCTAGCTGCTCCTGGTTTACTAACCTTGCGAATGCAGGAGTGTTGCGGCAGCAATGTGCTAAGGGGTTGTCTACCTCTGACACATGAAACAAGCGAGCAATCTTAACTTCACCTGATGGACTTGGGAGCCTATGGCTCCTGCTGCCTCTTCCCAATCCATTCCTATGACCGTATCTAATGGGAGATTGTCCTCTATGAGGAGACTCAGGGAATGGACTTTCTCTACTTTCCCATCTTTCTCTAGGTGGAAATATGCCTGGACTCCCTCGACGTAATCCTCGATTCGCATAGTGCGATTGTCTGCGAGGATATTGACTATAGGTTCTTCTAGCTTTTTGATTTTCAAACTTAGCTTTACTTTCTACAGCGCTTTGCGGCTAATATAGCTACGGGTGGCCCCACTGTCTATAAGGGCCCCTCCCCTGCCTCTAAAGACCTCTACATCTACTAACACTAGCTGCCCTTTTCCATCTTTCTTCATCTTGGCCCAGACTGGCATCCTCTGCCAGACCTGCGAGGGAAGTGCCTAGAGAGAC